GTTTCCCCTGACTTTCGTGTCGTGTCGTGTCCCCCCCCGCCCCCCGAGTGTGCGAGATGCGTGGCATCGGTCTCCCATCAGTGTTAGAGGTGCGTATGCCAGAACGGGGCTGGTATTGCGGGTCAGGTCGCCATGGCTATTCGGGGCAGGCAGCCCCTCCTCGCATGTGCTGCCTGCGGGGTCAGACCCTTCTGCCATATGCTTGGGAGCTCCAGTCTTGAAGATTGCAGCCAGTGGTTGTGTGTAATTATGGGTAAAAGTGATCAAAGGTAAATCTAAAGCCATAGTCAGTTGGTCTAATTATGGCTATGCCTCTGGAACACGTGAGTTTTTGGAAGTCATAAAAAAGGTAAATGTTTACATGTGTTCTTGCTTAGTTCGTGTATATAAGGTAAACTACTTAGAGCCCCCATCCATGTACATGTAATAAGCTGATTCTCTTTTAATATGATTTTGAGTCGAAGGATAAAAATTACAGTATAGGTGGCAATGTATTGCACTGCATGGAGTAGGATTTTTTATACAAACATGTAAATGAGTGTGTCATGATCTTAGTGTATTGCTGGGGCAGTTTCATCATCATCCTCTTCCCATCTACTGCTCACTTGCACGGAATAATGATGCAAAAAGTCTGCTTGATAAACACTGTGGAGACTTTTATGGTTATTAACCGTTAGATATGAGTTGATATTTAACTCTCATGTTTATGGTTACTGGGTTTTTCATCTTAGGTTCTCAGGGTACTTGGAGTATATAATGTTTTATATGTTTTCTTCATGTAACTACATAAGGAGTTTAACCTTAAATCAGTAATGGTTTTAAAATTTTTGCATTTGTAACTTGCACCCAGTGTATCATCTAATGCCCCAGACGTATACAAGTAATGTCTTGCCACGGTTTGTATCTGAGGGCTCCAAGCTGGGTCATTTCTGAATAACAGCAGGTAATCTGTGTATTATTGACAAGATCATGTCAGTTGCCGAAATTCTTTCAGAAAATGCCCTGTAAATATAAGTTGCCTATAGAGAAATAAAAGTTTTAAGAAGCTTTCTGTATGCTACATCACTGAACAGCATTGTATGCTTCGTTCAGCTGGACCTGGCACTTGTGTGCCAAACCCTGGGGGTTTGTCTGCTGCAGTGGATCCCAGAACTGCAGACTGGATGTAGTCTGTGAGGTACCCGAAAAAAGCAACATACTCTGCTCTTTTGATGACTTAATGTATTTGATGAGTTAAAATTACTTCTTAAATATGCAAGCCATTGAACTAAATCAGATACTTAGAAGATAATTGTGGTTTTCTTGTCTCGTTTGTGTTCAGTCTTAGCAGAGATTGTGAATTATGTTGATGGTAGCTTAGAAATTAGCATGCTTTTTTTTTTTTTGCCTTGGAGGGCTCCTTGGTAGAACAGTTAGGAACAATTGGAAGTAGTGCTGTCTGTCTTAGTCTCTCTCAAAAAAAATTAATTATTTTATCTAGTAGCACTTCTCACCTTGACTACTTTTCAAACGTGTAAAATAATTGTGTCTACGAGGGTTTTCTTTAGTATTTGCTTGCCAAGACTTATAATGCAAGGAAGAGGTGTACCTCAACTTATGGTCCTTTTCTGAATGACGGACAGGAATTTATGCCATGTCGGTTGGTTTTAGTATTGGTGATTACAAGCAGAACATAATTCTATTTGCTGTTTTTTGCTGAGCAAGGAATGTGTCCCATCTCTAGCTTTAATGTGTTGGTGACATCTACAGCTATTTAAGAGGAAACACAGGAGGTTTAAAGAGATGCCCCAAATACTTAATTTCATGTTAGGTGAAGAAATAGTCTTTCCTTTCTGCAGTGAATGACAGTAGTCAAATTAGGAAAAATTATTGTGTTCTGTTTTGTTTGAGTATGTTAGAGAACCTGTTACTGTTATTCGGGTATTATAGTGCAATACATCTTGCTGTTCTAAGTTAGTCTGTTAAAGGCCATTGTGAGGCAGACCACTAATACTTTTTCTTTTTTTCTTTTTTAGAAACCAAGTGCTAGAAATGTTTGATCATGCATATAGCAATTATATGGTAAGTAAAATAGCTCTTTGTTTAATTTTTTTCAGAATTGTTATTGCTGACCTTGGAGAGAAGCATCCTACAGTACATGACATTCTAGAGAAATAGCAGGGAGGTAGGGGCAAAAACAAAGCTAAAATAAATAATAGCACCTGTATAGCCTTTAAAAAGAAATGAACAAATCTTACTTGCAGGAAGAGCAGTGTCAGGAGGATTATGATGACTTTCAGAATAGTAGCTAGGAATTGCTAGCAGTAACTCTGTTAATCTGTGCCTGAGCTTTCCTCAAACCAGTTTATTTCACATCAAGCTATGAGCAGTTTTCATCTTTGGTAAACTATTTGCTTTGAAATTCGAGTCCTAAAAATGCTAGCAAAAGGAAGCTCAAAAGAGCTGCCTGTAGTCATCAGATTCTGCAGAATACAACTTGATCTTATTTATTTCATGGGTAAAAATTATGTAAAATATTTCTTCTCATATGTCAGGTGCATTTTGGTAGCTCTTTTACAAACAAGCAGTGTTTGTAGAACGAAGTTGAACAAAAAGGGGATCTGGTCTCATATCTATGCATTATAGCCTCTTCGAAGTACATGACTGTCATATGACTGTGAGCCACGCTTGCTATGGTTTCTTTTAATATGACTTGTGATTTTCTGTGCAGGTATCTTCATGTCTGGATATGTGAGCCATTCTGCACTCTCATCAACCTTGAAATACAGTAGCTTAGTGTAGATATGATTGAGAATAAAAAATTACTTAGAGTGGACTGACTTTCCTCAAGTGATACTTACTTTCAAATATACTATAAGTAATACACTTCTGAGGAGAAACTGTAGATGTGAATAAGATAAATATTAAAGATGCATTCTTAGTGAGTTTACGTTAACGATCTTTTTGTACATTCTGTTGCAGAAACCTCTCTTAAGTTGCACCAGTTCCTGCAGGACAAACCGCTGTCTCTTGACAGTATCTTGCCACATGTCCCAGTTTCTGTATTATGGTTTAACGCTTTAATATGTAATACAAGATTAAAAGCTTGTGAGTAACAAGTTTATACAGTACATGAGAGTTATAGAATTAATGGATAGATAGCCAAGCAAGTGTATTTTTGAAGTGGGTGTAGTTTTTCTTTTTAACATTAGCTCGTGCTTTTGACACCTTAGCAGTTAATCAAACATCAGGCTTTTTGGTGATAATTTATAACTAGTTACTTGGGACCATGAAAAACACTTGGCTTGGGTTTCCCATGGCATTCTGAAGTATAAACTGTTACATATTTGGCATAATTGGATAAAAAGTTACATGCCAGTAAAAAGGATCTGTGCTCCTACTGTTCATTGTGTTAAATTGGAACTGGTAGGTGTCTTGCTACATCTGAAGCAAGGAAGTTCTGGATGAAGGAGAAGAATGACTTCAGCTGTCCTGGAAACTTTGAAGCCAAAAGGATATTTACTTGCCACGT